AGACCTTAGAGCATCCCAGATGGGATGAGGATGAGGAGAAGCTGATGTTGTGGTGCTGCTGCTTCTCTGCACTCAGCAAGTGGAAGAGAAACTGGGAGGTTTGATGCTTAAAGCATCCCATAGAAACCACTGGTTGGAAAAGCTGCTGGGAATTCCTGGAAAAGCTCAGGGCCTGCACTGCTGAGCTTGGAAAGATGTGGAAGTGTTCCAGGCCAGGTTGGATGGAGCTTGGGGAAACTTGGACTAGTGGAAAGTGTCCCTACCCATGGCAAGAGGTGGGACACTTTTTGGGTCCTTTTCAACCCAAACCATTCCATGATTCCATGTAAATAATTGTTTTCCCTTCTCTCCCTCTCCAGGTGATGGTGGGGAGTGTGGTGGGAACAGAGGAGATGTTCCTGCCATCCCAGAGCTCCCTACAGCTCCCAGCTGAGCCAGCCCTGAAGGAAGAAGTTGCATTGCAAATGTTGAGATTAAACTTAAAAAAAAACCAAGAAAGGGAACATGAACATTAGTCACTTCCCCATAGAACATGAGCTGGGCACAGCTGGAGCAGAAGCTCCTGGTGTCGTGTTGGACTCAAGGACAACCCCCAAACTAGTCATGTACAACTGGAGCTCCTCAGAATTGTTCTCCAGGGTCATTGTGGTGGTGGTTGAGGGACTGACCTTGTTCTTCCCTTTCCAGCTTGGGTGGTAGGGCACTGCTAGGGGTGGATCAAGGAGCTTCAGAGGGCTTTAAATCCCCCCAAAACAGGAAATTCAGCCCAACTGCACAGGCAGGCAGAAACCTCAGTGCTTTTTGCAGAGAGTTCCTTATCAGAAGTGGTGAGAAGGGAAGTGGTGCCCTCCAGATTTTAGCCCTATCAGTTCCTTGCATCTGTTGGGCAAGAAATCCCCAGAAAGGGCTCTCCCAAGAGCTCCTTGGGAATGGGTGTGCCACCACGAGAGTGGGATTAAAGCATCCCAGAATCCTTTACATCCCACTGCAAGGCAAACAGAGCTGGATCAGCTGCTCCTCATGACCTCCAGGAGCTCAGTGCTCCCAGAGACCTCTTGGGCTGAGCAAGTGAGATGCTGGAGGAAGGATATTCCCTGGAAATCATAGAACCATAGAATCATAGAATCAACCAGGTTGGAAAAGAGCTCCAAGATCATCAAGTCCAACTCCACTATGGTCACTAGACCATGGCACTAAGTGCCACATCCAGTCTCATCCTAAAAACCTCCAGGGATGGTGAATCCACCACCTCCCTGGGCAGCAGATTCCAATACCTAATCACTCCCTGTAAACAAGCTCTTCCTAATATCCAACCTAACCCTCCCCTGGCAGAGCTTGAGTCTGTGCCCTCTTGTCCTGCTGCTGGTTGCCTGGGAGAAGAGACCAACCCCCACCTGACTCCAACCTCCTTCCAGGCAAATCATCCTTTCCCACGGTATATTTTCCAGGCAAGGGATAAGAAGGGAAGAGCAGCAAAGCTCCTGCCATCACAGGGAGCTCCAAGCAGAGTTAGGACTTGGATTTAAGGGAAGTTTGGGCTGGAAGCACCTGCAGCACTTCTAGGAATAATTCAGGCTGAGGAAACATCTCAGTGAAGGAGAAGAACCTCAAGGTGGTCACATCCCAGGCCAGGTGTGCTTAACCCAAGGCAGAAAGGGATGGGAGACAGGATCAACTCTCTGTGCCAGGGTGGGATATTTGGGAAGTCACATCCCATGTGTTCCCAGCTCTGGCTGCTGCCACGATGAATCGGCAAAGTGGAAGCTTTGGTAACCTTTAGACATTTCAAAATCAAAGCCAACCAGGAAGGGTCAGAGGAGCAAACCAACAGTTTTTGG